TTACAATTTTAGGATTCACTTGCTTAAGAAAAAACATTTTGAAGTTAAATCCTGATATAAGTTTGTTATTTTTTAGAGCATCTTGTTACATTCTTAATAATTTCTTATTTTTGTAGGTTTTGGAAGAAAAGGAACGAGCCAATTCTCTTGAATTGGAAAATATTATTATTGAACTTGACAAAGTAATTATTAGTCTCAAAATCTTAAAAAATAAAATTAAAAAGAAATCCAAAATTATGTGAAATATTTTTTGAGTTAGTCAAATGAAAGTGAATGTTTTTTACTTTGCTAATATGTATTGCAGTGTAATTGTGGGTGTGAAAAAATACTATATTTTGTTGATTATAATATACAAATGAATTTATTATTTAATATTTTGAAAACATTTTTATATGTTTTTGTTACATAAACAATTCTGATTGAGAAATTGTATACTTATTTCTTCGTTCTTTTTCCAACTTCTAAATTGAATGTTTGAAAAAGTTGTCAAAGCATTATATTCTATTTTACATCTATAAACTCCTTTTTAGAGAATTTCATTTAACTGAAGCTATATAGGAAAGCAAAAAAGATTTTTAAGAAAGCAGAATTGAATGATAAATGATTGAAATTCAGCTGTTCTTCAAATTTGTTCTTACAGCAAAATTCACATTTATTAACTTTGAATAAATATTCAATTAGAAGATATATCTTAAGATTTCTAAAATAATCTTTTTTAAAGTATTGGATAGGATGCAATTGCATCTTTATTTCTTGATTTACAGAATTTTTTAAAAATTTGTTCGCATTGCAAAAAATTCTGTTTACAGGATTAACTTTTAAAGTTACTGTGGTTAGTACATATGATGACTAGAATAAATTGAAAAAATATATAATAAATTTCTTTAATAAATTCAATTTTCTCTTAGAAAGCAGAACGCTCTGATTCCACTCTTGAAAACAAAAAATTCCTGAATGCTTTGCAAGAAGAAATAATAGTCTTGAATGAAACGACTTCAGCTGATTTAGAAAGCATGGTAATTTTTTTTTTAATATTCAAACTCTGGTTTCATGTTAGATTTTCAATAAATGTCCATAAAATAATTTCAATAGAATTTTTTTAAAGTTTTATTTGATACTAAATAGAAAATACTACTTTAAAGTACCAGAAATTATTGGAAAAACAAAACAAAAACTCTTCCAATAAGAAATTTGTCTATTGTTTTCTTTCTTTTCTCATTATTTCTGTTTTGATTCTGAACATTGCCCTGATCTTGTGTATGATTTTGGTTTTAATCAAAAATGAAGCCTCTTTTAAATTTAAAAGGACTGTTTATTTCTATGGCCTTGAATCCACTTCCAACCACACTTTATAACATAATCATTGTTTAGCAGAAGCATGTGCCATTACCCTTGGTATGATGATGTTAATTGTTGTCCTTGATGTGATATATAGGTAACATATAACATCCTGAGAGTGATTGTGTTTCCTTTAATGGCACATAATGCTGGAACCATTGTCCAACAAGATAACTCTGGGTTTCATATTGCTCACATGCCTCTATGTTGTTAATACTCTTCCTTGGATAATATGGCTAACTGAATATGTATGGTATATGGTAGGCTACCAAATTTAGGAATTTTAAGTTGTCTTGGATCTGGAACAATAGTTGATGAATGCCTGGTAGGATATGTTACAAGATGTGATTAAGAATTTTTATTACTCTTTACATCTTTGTATATATGCATGCACTATGACTGGAGTTTACTGATTTTAACATTCAATTTACAATAACTACCCATTAATAAGCACTATGGTATCTAATTTTTGATTATTTCATAATCTGTGCCTGCAATTTATTTCAATAATAAGTCTCTTTCTTCGTGGTATTTCATTTTTTTTTTTTTTATTAAAAAGTATCTTTCTTTCAGTTGTGTGTATCCAATTTAAATTGTCTATTTAAACTATTTCAGTGCACAAGTGGCAACAGCCGGAATTGGGAGTGGTCATTTGATTTATATCTCACTGACTGAATTCATTGATTAATGGTTTGCGTCACATTTGAAAGCAACATGAGGGCTATTATTGATGGATCTTGTAGTTTTGAGCCTGTAGTCAAGTGAGGAGGGTGACTCATTAGCTAGTGCTGCATTCTTCAAATTTCCCCACCATGCTGATAAATTTAACATGCATCAGACCCCTTTACATGTCAAGTCTTTAGTGGCATCAGAAACCCATAACTTAAACAATGCTTATGAGTTCACAACTATAACCACTCAGCTATTGTTAGTACATTTTTTACCCTACTCTTTTCAATACTTTTTTGGTTAACTCACTCTCATAAAAACATAGATGACAACCAAATGTTATTACTTCCTTCATGCTAGTATTTTTTAGACCTTGTCATTATGTGAAGCATAACTATGTTCTCCTTAAGGTTTTCATAGCCCTGTCTATACTTTTATACTTCACAAGAGCCTGGGCTGTGGAAAGCAGCCCTCCGCTCTTTCCACAGCTGATGAAGGCTGGTGTTTCCAGCTTGGTTGGTGAAGAGGGTGTGTGGCTTCAGGTGGAAGGGACCAATGAGGTGATTCGAGAGATGGAGGTGCACTGCAACTTGAGCCAAGGTTTCCTATTGGCTATTGTGAGTGAGCTATTGAATCTGGGCTGCACTTTTCAGAGAAACAATTTTAAAATATTGAATAATGAACTGTTGAGATAAAAAAAATTTTAAGTTAAATAAAAATAAGAGAAATTAGAAGTTATAAAAATTTAGCTATCAAGGAGTGATTCTACAATCAGAAACGTTTTTTGCTTATCATCTTTACTAGCTTTAAGTACAGGGAGTAGGGAAAGAAGTGTTGGCACTTTTTTGACCAAGTCAGATAAAATTTTGAATAATTCAATTAAATTAAAATTTTTGAGATGTTTGCCTCAAAGGTGGGAAAATCTCCAGTTTGACTTTGTTCTTTGCAGTTATTATTTTCCCAAGGGGGTAATAGGAGTAATTTGAGTTTTTTTACTGCTAACTTTGTTGGTGAAGGAAACTCCCTCAACAACATAGTTGCTGGTAAATTCTTGTTCGGTTGTGAGAGAAGTGCCTTTCTTGGGTTTTGGGAATTTAGCGCATTTAGTAGCCTCGCTTTTAATCAGCACTTCTTATAATTCTGTCTTGCAAATAAAGTTCTGTATTGTTTAAAATTTCCCCCCTTTGTAAACAATGATACAGCTACACAATAGTTTCTTGATAGTTCCTATACATTGAGTTTTCATCACTTGTGTTGATTTAAGAAGCTTCGATGCTCCGAAATTAATATTTTGATCATAGTGCAGACATTAAAAGTTGAAGGACAAACTTGGTTGCAATTCTTTTCATATTCATTTCCATTATGTTTTTCATTTGACCTGATGGACACGCTTACAAACCCTGAATTTTAAAGTAATGGCTGAACTAAATTCTAGTTATGCTCTACAGGATCACTATTCTCTTTCAAAGATTTGAACCTCTAAAAAGTTCTCAATAGGCTTAGTTTCATTACCAAATGTTTGAGCAGTTTTAGGTAGATTTCATTTGTTATTCTGTTTTGTTTACAGTAAAATTTAATGCAAAGACTCTTTGGGTAGCCAATAATACAACATTTGGAATATTACTCTTTACAATCTGTACTTGGTAGTATGTGTCCATAATCATATCTCTTTATAGATCTTGATACAATGATCATAGTTTAATTATTATAAATGTTCTCTGATAAGGCAATAATATACTCATGCTGATTAGAGTTCAATCATAAATTTATATATTTTTATTTTTAATACTATCAAAATTAAAAATATTACTGATACTGTTTGACTGTTTTCTAAATCTTTCTAAACGAGAAGGTATATGAATTATGTGCTTTTCTTTTGGGATTCAGATTATTTTCATATGCACGCTTTATGGAAATATCGTAGACAATAATTAGTAAACATTTTTAAAACTTGCATGTTAGTCATAAAAAATTCAATTTTTAAAAAAAAATTAATAAGGTCAATAAAAATAATTTTTTTTGTATTCAGAAAAAATTTTTGAAAAATTTTGCAAGCAAACTACAAGAGGATTTGGATGAAAAGATATCTGGTTTTGAAATGGACATTCGTTTAGAACCTCTAGCAGGAAGATTGAAGAAACAAGAAAAATTGTTAAAGGAGATATTTCTGAAAATACGTGTTTTGGAGTGTCAGTCCATGGGGTAATAACTATGTTTGTGTTTTTTGTAATATAAGTCATTCTGATATAGTAACATTTTTCAGTTATTAAGGATATTAATAAAAAGAGGCTAATTAGTTAATTTATCTTATGATATTGAAAAATAACTAAATTTCAAAGTTTACGAACTTTTAGAATAATTTGAACTTTTTTGTTTACAGTAATTCAGAAGTTTATATGTACAGGATGTTTACACAAAAGAACACCCCAACTTTAAATTAGTCTATATTTACAGTTATGAAACTGAAAGTTAACAACCTTTTCAGACAAATTAAATATCTTAAAAAATTACATTATAAACACAGACACATGTTACATTTATAAAATTATAAAAGTTCAATGTGACTACTTCCACAGATACATCATTGATATTGATAAGCGAATTCATTCTGTGCTTTTTTCAGTATTTTGGATGTTACAGTTTGATATGAATGTTGTTATTCAGTTTCAGTTCATCAGTGTTTTCTGGTAGTAACAAGAAAGGTGTATAACTAGTAATATATATTAAAAAAAATTTAAGTCAGTTCCTACTTAGGTCAACAAAATTTTTTTTTATTTTAATTAACTTTTTTAAATAGTTACAATTAATATAAATACATTTATATATATATGACAGAATCACAATATTAAGTGACAATATAGAACGCATTTTTCCTTGCAATTTTCCTTTCTATACGTGTCATATTTTTTTCAATTGTTACTATTTATTTATTAAGTTTAATTATTCTTCTAAAATAGTAGAGTAAAAAGAAATCACATTCTCAGAAATTAGGCCATCCCATGTGGGATTCGAATCCACAACTTTTGGATTAGATATCAAACGCACTATCCATTGTGCTACTGGGACACAATGAATGATTTTCCTTTCTATATATGCTGTTGGACTATTATTTTTGCTTGTTACTATTTATTCATTTTTTAATTTAATTAATGAATTAATATCTGAAAAATCATATTAACATCCAGTGTCATACACTACAAGTTTAAAAAAATGTATTTGAGCAAGATATCTGTATGTAAATATATATATATAGGGAGAGAGTGAAAACTAATAGTAGAAACTGAAAAAAGCCATCTTTTACGCAACTAAAAAAAACAGTTTAAATAGGTCTTCTTGGGCTACTGATTAAGAGTGAGATTATCATCTGTTCTGCATTCAAACAATCATTGTGGGAATCTTGCCATTCAACTATCCTCAAATAGAAAAGTTTTAATATGATGGTGTTCCATCCTGCTTGAAAATGTAGTCTCCCATTTTTTTCTGTTTCTGGAAATAACCTTAGTTGTTGGATATAAAACTAAGTAGTGCCAGTAACATTGATTTATTAAGAAAGGATGTGTGGGGAGGGGGGCCAAAAATTTTGTTTTGCAATATGGATCAAAAATCATTAACCCTCACCAAATCATGATCACTTCTGTAATTGTATGAAAATTAGTTGTACCCATATGTGAGCAGTGTATTGTGTTACCTTACTGTTGGAAGAAACATTGGTAAAAACAATCTTAGATATGAAGGAATTGTCTTTGTTGAGCTAATTAACAATAAGGAAACAAGAATTAATTTTCTCCTCTTTACCATTTTGATCTAGAGTGTTTTCCACTTGTAATGTATGATTCGAAAATCAGTTGCCACCTAAATACTTTCCATGCTGTTATATGAGATATTTGCAGTTCTCTGCTGCTTCATTGACTTTCATTGACTATTAATGAATGTGTGTTTATATTGAATCCATACCACATTTATTTCTGAAACACAGTTTAACACAGCTTTTGTCTTTATAAATGCACCCCTTTTTAAGAAACTGATGAAATTACATTTCATAGAATTGTGCGTTTAATTGTTTAGGCTGGAGAAATAAATTTTTCAAAGTTGGTTTTTTTTTAAATGCCTTGAATTTGTTAACTGATGCTGCCAATTATTCTTGGAATTAAATAGATAAATCTTTAAAAATCTTTATTTGCTTAATATTATTTTCACATTGTTGAAATATTTTTGAAAAATCCTAATTAAAAAATATTAGTTATTATTCTTGAATATTAAATTGCTGATTAATAATCAAATTTTAATTAATAATTTAATACACATTGTAATTTAATTTATAATTTAATAATAATAAAATACTTTAGAAATATTTTAAAATTATTTAAATATTAAAATTATATTACTTAGTGTATATTATTATAAAGTAACCCATAAAAAAATTATAATTTCAGTTCATACAGTGATTTTTATAGATGCTATTTTTGAAAATGAAACAGTTTAATTTGGCTGAATGGGAGTGTTGCTAGTCTATCCCTCTCCTTTTCAAATAAATTTTATTAAAAAAAAAACAATTTAATATTTCATAACCATAAATTTAGCACTTTTAGTTATGTGTTGAAAACTATCCGTGACTAAGTTTCATGTGAATATGTGCTAAAATGTAAATTTTTATTACAATACTGTTATTGAGATTGCCAGACTAGCTGAAATATCATTTAAGATTATCCCAATTTTTTTCATTATCATAGTTTTATTTCTTTATAAATGAAATTTTGGAATTGAGTAATTTATTTCTTTGGGAATGTAATTGTTTCTTATAACTTTGGAAATCTGTTTTCAGATATCTGAATCTTATTAACAACATAAATTATTATATTTTTTTATAAACAATTCCTTTGTTGGTATATTAGACTATCTATTATTTTACTTTATTAGAATACTAATATTTTGATATTATAGCATTCAGTATTGAAATCATGTATAAATAAGGAAAGACCTCTCCTACTTCTTCCATGTTGAGATTATTTATTAATTCTATCTTCCTAGTTTTCTTCATTTTTCCTCTGGGTTAACAATTTTTAGATAAGGAGAAGGATCATAACTCCAAAATATCTGAGTAATTTTTTTTTTACGCCATAGAGAGTTTACTGTTTTTGGTACACATTCATAACTAGACCCCAGAATGACTTAGCGATCCTTCCCTATTTTTGATCCACTGTCTAGTCAGTAAATTTTCATATTTCATTGCTTTCTTTGCATAATATATAGGTAACAAACTTGTGTATATTAGAATTTTTTATATGGTGCTCTTAATTTTTTTAATTATTATTTATTATACTTGTTATTTTAAAAATCAATATTATAGTTTTTATTCAAAAAAATTTTTCCCTACAGTTCCATTATCTTTTACACTTTTTGCTCTTCAACTTACTCTTAATTTCCTGGGAATAATTTTGCATTTCCTTTGTTGATGCTTTGCTTTATATAAATGGCAGATGTGTACCTGCTTCTGTCAATTCAGTAGTAATAAGATTTTCTGAGACTCCAAAGAGACATTAATGTTAGGTTAATATTGCAGCTAAGAATGTCTTAAATTTTCTAGCAAATCTTCAACCTGATGCTCTATATCTTGGGTACCTGAGCCTGGCAATTGTTAATTGATTTGTAGGCAACATCTCTCATTGGACTTATCTATAGGTAGAGATGTTTCAAAATGAGTTCTCAATTCTCTCATGTATTCATTTCTTTCACGCCAAATGAATTTTTATACTATCCTTAAAAATAAATAAATACCCCGAATGTCTCCATTTTTATTAGCCACAAAACTTTTCAAGTTTGTTAAAAAGTTATAATCTGGTTATTTACTTATAGAAAGTGCATCTCTTTCATAATTCAATTAATTTTTATTGACAAAAGCATTTCTAGGTTGACCTTTATTACTAATGCATGCAAATAATTAAATTCATGTTATGGTGTCATTTTTTAACTTTATATGTTGTGCACCTACAAAGGGGAAACCCTGTTAATGGAATTTCTGATCACCATGACTTTCAGATAAATTATATTGAAGTTAAAATAGATGGAGCTGTCTCTCTAAGCAAAAATTTAATTTTAACTGTCTTCAGTTACCAACCTGAATTAAAGTATGATTTTCTATTTGCCAGATGTGACATACTTTCAGAGTCCTTTTCATTGTTTCAACTGTCAGAAGCTCAGACATTTCACAAACTACCCGTCACAATTTTGTGGTCTAAATGCTTATCGCTGTGGCATTTTTTCATATAATCAATTTGTATGAATTGTCATTAACTATATATTTCTGATCCAAAATTATGCCCTAAATTATTAAGGAAAAAAATCCTAGAAACTAAAATTGAGACCAAAATATTTTTTAATTAGTCTTCAAAGTACATAGTTCCAAAGTCATCACAGAAATACACCTTGGCAAATTGAACCTTCAGTTGTTTCCATTGCCACCCTAATAGATAAAAATATTACAAAAAAATATATATGGCGACCTTGTGAATGAATATTTGAAACAATTATCCAAAAATTTTGAATATTTCTTTTAGTTCAGCAATGATAACTGATCTATAATATCACATTCTAAAAATGTTTCTACTTCAGTTACATTAGATTCCAAACTGAACACAACTTTCAATTAATCTACACCAGGGGTGGGCAAACTTTTCCAGGGTACAGGCTACTTCTAATTTTTTCAAGGTGTTGCAGTCCACCCAGTGGGTGTAGGTGTGGTGAGCTGCAAAAAAGGTCTATAATATTTATTATAATTTAAAAATAAGTATGGAATTTGTGCTTACCTACATAACTACAATAAAAAACTCTTAAGACTGTGTTTAAACCAAAATGCAAGATACAAACATAGTAATAATAGCCACAAATATAATAAAAAATGATGCATTTATTATCAAACAATTCAAAATCCATTAAAAAATCATTTTCACCTAAAGTTATTTCTGGTAGTTATAGTCATTAGAAGGCTTAGTCTGCATACTGTCAACCAATTTTGAATATTTCAGTATATAATTACTAACTGCTAATCTTCAGGTCGTCCACTCCAAAACACAGAATTACCATGTAAATCTCCAAATACATCCTCACCTTGTATTTGTAAGTTTGATACAAATTTTTAAAAATTTCAAAGTTACTTCTGACAAACTATAAACTTTTAAGGATAATATGAAAAGAAAATGTAAAAGAGGCTTTCAAAAATATCTTAAAACCTGCTACTGGTAATCAAAGTAAAACGCTCTTTAAAACGAAGAAGGTGTCAGGGATTAGAACCCGTTATCTATGGATTCGAAGCCAAGTAACATGACCTCTGGACAAAAGTAATCATTCCTGCCCAGAAGCACACAGTTACTAGCTTATTTTATCAATGGATGCAACCACCATGGAAGGCTTCTACATTAAACATTTCAGAGGATGATATGTGATGGACAGGGCCGATTTATTCATTGGGCGCTTGGGGCGGATGCCCAGGGGCCCGTAGGATCTCAGAAGGGCCTGGATAAATTGGACTCAACCAGGTTTTCTGATTATAAATTTTGATCCACCGGTGCTAAGGGGGGCCTGTAGATCTTCTGCGTCCAGGGCCCAAAATGAGCTTAAATTGGCACTGGTGATGGAATCTCTGCAAGAACCTGCTTGACTAGATATGGAATGCTCTAACATATTAATATTTACTGTGAATAAGAAAGTAATAATTTTGTTCTTTTAGCTTCCTATTTAATATACAGGGTAACATTGCAATACATTTTTTTTACATTTTATTTACAATTATTCCCATATAAATCAAGATTTATTTATTAAGATTTTTTATATATTTTTTTTTACATGAGTTTGTGAACTGGCTGGTGTGATTGTTATAAATTTTATTTTTCAGTGAAATGTGAATTTTTATTCATCATGAAATTTTGTTTGGTTTTAGTATCCTTTTCTTTTACACAAAGTTGGGTTTTAAATTTTTGTATGATAATCTGTTTTTCATTTTTTTGGTACAATATACCTCCCATGATTAGTATTATAAAATTCCTAGTAACCAATCTTCTCAAATTTAAGTC